GCTAAGAAAGTTCAATAATAATGACCAAGTTTACAGTTGCTCCACTAGCACGGCCACTACAGAGGTTTACCATGAATACTGTGCATTTTATGAGATTTTCTCCAAGGAAATTTGACCAAAATGTAGCTTTTAACAATTTGCCAACACAATTAGCAAGAAGCAGCAGTGTTAACACTTGTCACTTCAAAGAGCTCCAGCTTCTAAGTTTCATAATAGACCAAGTCTCTAGACATTGACTTGATGGGCAAGCTGCTGTTTCTACTAATACACAGAAATAAAATGAAAGCTTCCAACTTCACATAGATGAATATTCCAGGGAGATTTCATTTTCTCCAAGATTTTATCAGCTGCTTAAGCAACAGCCCTCCAGGCCATGCATTTGTCAGCAGGGACCTGCACCCCGGGGTGTGCTAGGGAGCACCACACATCCAAACTCCTCAGCACTAGCCAAGATATTTGACTGAAACCATTTAAGAGCCTTCTGGAGAAATTCAAGTTTTAGCCAGCCCAGGATCCTAGCTGCTCTGGAAGCAGCTGTGACATCCAAGCACAGGAAAGCGGGAATTGCTTCCCTATGAAACACCACATAGGTGTTTCCCCCCGCAATACCCCAGCAGAGTCAAAAGCAGCAGGAAACATCCCTGTGGTCCCCTCAAACCAGCAGAAATCACGGCTGCTTCTGCAATAATGATGTATTCTTTCCAAGTAAGCCTCTTTGTGCACTGCTTGTCCCTTCTGTATCCTCAATCTGCTTCTTTATGCATTTTACCCTCCTTCGTGTCACATCAAATGACAGGCTAAGCAGACCAGACACTCCTGGCTGAACATCCTTTGCTTTCCATCCCCAGGAGATTAAGCTCTGTTCCACCGAGTGATGCTATCAAAGGACCTGAAGAACTAAGATGTGCCAGATACTCAAAGAAAAGGCAGCCGGGATGCAACAGTAAAGTGTCTATGGACCCACAAACTCCACATGTGGAGTCTCACTCAGGAATAAGCAGAAAATCCAAATAACTGAGAAATCACAGTAAGGAGAACCATCCGTTGCAGTGCCCAGACAGACCAGGAGCAAAGAACAACTGCCAACATTTTGAACAGAGCTACATTTGCCTAAAGACAGTTTTACAAAAGCTATAACACGATCAATAGGAAGTTGTTCTTTTAGATTCATGTGGAAAATGTTTGTGCACAGCACAGGATCTTTAAATGAATTAACCAGGTTAAACACTGGGAATGTGGAGTAGGAAACAAGTTTAACTAGTTGTGGAAGGGAGAAGGGAAAGAGAAAAAAACTCAATGAGAAAATGCTAAACCAAAACCTACGGCCTGAAGCCTGAACACTCAATTTAGTTTTCAAGTTGCTGCATTTTATGAAGTGCAGCATTTTTCTTCAGTGGGTTTAAAATAGGCATATGAAACTGGCTGCAGGTAGTGTATACTCTTGGGCTGAAACAAGAAAAAAAGAAAAGGAGGAAAAACCCACAAACCTAGAAGCCACACACACACTTCAGAATATAAATCTGAAAAATTATCACAAGGGCCTCCCATTCCACCCCAGTCTCTAGAAGTAAAGACTTGAGTTGCACCCGATGAGTATTTATAGGCCACTCTGTTAGATGGCTGCACATCTCCAGCACGTGAGGAATCTACCCGAGCACAACATGGACAACCACAGGGATTTTGATAAAATTTGGGGAAGTGCAAAAGTTAATTCCCAAGAATTTCCTGCACATCTCCAAGAAATTCTCATACCCATTAATGCATATACGTGAACACATTCGCTTTTGGAGAAAGAAACACAACAGGAAACCTAAGCCCCAAAGCCCAAGGGAACGTGTTGTCCATGGACAACGACCAACTCCAGAGCTACGAGAGCCACAGCCATAAAAAACCCTAACTATTCAGTAAATCTGCGCTGCAATTTTCAATTTCAGCTTGATTTCTGAGGGGAGAAGAAACTCCCAACACATCTGTTCTCTCCAGCCGGTGCTCTCTTCATTGCTATGAAGGAATCTGTTGGAGGGAAAAAGCACAGGAGCAGAGCAAGGGAGAATTCCCACTGCTAATTTATCTGCTGTTTCTGGCACGGATTGTTAATAGCAAAGAGGATGTTCCCAAAGCAAACGGCCACGGCAGCTCTTGTCTTTCAAACAGAAGTAGCAGCGAATGAGCAGAAAAAGAGAAGGATCCACTTCCAATCAGCTTCACTTCTGCTATTGGCATTTCCAGCGGGAATGGTGAGATCCAGAGGACCTTGTGTCCGTAAGTATCTGAGCAGCAGAAGGTCTCAGGTTTTCTCAGGCGTCAAAAAGAGGATTGCAATGATTTATACATAATTCTCACCTGAGATGCCACTTTCACCAGCACGAGGACAGGCTACATTGTCTTTTTAAAGGACAATTTGGGTGTCTCCAGAGAGGTTATCCACACACAACAGTAAACACCCCTCCATACACTCCCAGAAACGCAAAACCCCTTAATTCAGTGTAATACAAGTTATTTAAGCCCCAAAAGGCTACTCAGCAGTTAGCCACAAACTAAGCATAATAAATGCCAGCATTAATCTATACCTTTATAACAGCTTGAGTCACCTCTAGCACCAAGTGTTTTTTTTAGTATTGGTCAGACCCTGGAGGGTTTTACATTTTACAGGAGGTTATTTTTTTTCCCTCTTTCTTTTTAAGCAGCCAGAGTTTCTTTCAATTCTTGCATGGAAATGGTATAGAGCCATCCAAGTCTTATGGAAGCCAAACGTGGGTATTTTCAGGAAAGAAAAAGAGAGCACAAATAGGTAATTAGGCCATACAGTCACACATTGATTTATCTTAATCTGATGTAGGAATAACAAATAATAATAAAGTAAAATACTGAGTGCCAGGCTCAAAAGGTGAAGAATTTTGTTAGAAAACAAGTTAAATCTTTCACAAATCACTGTTGTGAGGTTCACCCCTTTGGCGCCAGATCCTCCTTTGTTCAATCCTAAAGAACTTCCACGCTCTGCAGAAGCTGCAGAGCTCGGAAAAGCCTTGAGCTGTGCAAGAGACACCAAGCAGGAGGTAAAAGAGACCAGCTCGGTTAGCACCGTGACATTTTGCCCCTCAAATGATAAACGTGCTGGAAACGTCCACATCCCGGGTGCTGGCAGACACACCAATGTTTAAAATGAGTAAGGCTGGAGGGGGATGGGAAAATGCTTTAAAAAACCCATATGTTTGTAATAGACACGCTCGGGCACACGCTGCACGGCGTGCCGGAATGCCAGCCCGGCTTCCAACGAGCAGATGACAACCAGAAACCTCCAAGTTTATAGAGGAGCCAGGGAGAGACATGGCAGGACTGAAATCCCCTTTTCCCGAGTTTTCCCCCAGGTTGTGCCTTGCTGTTACAAGGTCCCCACGCCTTCCAGCACAGCCTGCTGTAGGACATGCATCCATAGCAGCACATTCCCGAGCTGGAGCGGATTTACATTCCCTTTTGTTCCCACCACACTCCCATTCCCGGCTACAAAGAGCCGGCTGGTCCTTTTGCTCCTCCTGGGGAAGCTCGAATCCCAGCACAAATCCCAGCTTTGTACCGGGAGGAAGCTCCCCTTCCAAGGCTCCCACGAGGAAGGTGCTTACGGCGAGCCCAGAGCAGCTCCCTTTCCCGAAAGAACTTGGAGCCCATGTCCCACTGCTCCATAAGGAGGTTGTGGATGCTGACCCCCCTGCCCCAGGGTGCCATTCCCAAAGGAATCCCCAAGGATCCTCAGGATCCCGTCTTCACCGCCCATTTGCCTCCTTTCTAAAGCACTGCTGCTCCCACTGGGCAAACGCACAGGATAAAGCCCGATCCAAGGGAGCAACAGGGATTCCCAGAAGGAAAAATCTCCCCCTCAAAAAGCAAAACAAAAAACCCCCGCAGTTCCTTCCTACTTCTAAAACAATGCCAAGAATTTAATCTTTTCAAACAGCATTTTCCCCAAACTCTTCCCACCCCTGCCAAGAGAAGCCAAGTCCCCCTATTCAGCTGGGATGCAAGCCTGAGCACAATGACATTTATAAAATTTCCAGTTAAAAAAAAAAGAAAAAAAAAGTCTTTGCAAAAGATAAAACTAAAAATTAACCTCCTTCCTAAAAGGCCTTGGCCAGGAGCCTGCCCTGCCACCTCCCCCTTTATTTCCTGCCTCCCGAGGGTGACAAGAGAGGCCGGGAGCTGAGCGTGGCCCCTGGCACCACCTCAGATGTGTCACACGCTGGGCCGGCCGGCCAATAAACCCTGTCCCAGCGGCTGAAGGCCACAGCGGAGCGGGGAGAGGGTTAAATAAATAAAGACACAGGTCCCAGGCAGAGCAAGGGCCGGGCTGGGAGGACAATGAATGAAGAGCGAGGCCACCACAATAAAAAATAAAATAAAGAAGGGAGGAAAAGGCAGGGAGAGGGAAAAATGGGGAGGAAAAGGGGTTCTTGGTGGCACTGCGGTGACGGAGCGGGACGGGGTGAATTACAGAGCTCCCGGTGCCGCGCTCGGGGAGGTCTCGGCCCGCAGGCCCCAGGCTGCTCCCCGGCACGTGGGGGCACCGCAGACCCTCAGTGGGGGGCACAGACCCACGAGCACCCGGAGAGGCAACAAGACCCGCAGGACGGAGCCCCAAACCCCCCCAGCGCAGGGCGGGCCTGCTCCTCCCGAGGAAGAGGGGGTCACAGACACCCCCATCTCCCTTCAACGGGGGGATCCCCCCTTCTCCACCGCTCTGCCTCAGAGGGCTGCGCACCCCAAACACACCCAGGCCTTAGGGGGGACACCCCCTCCACTGCCCCCCCTTTGGAAAGGGGAGCCCCCCTCACAGACACCCCTTGGAAGGGGGAAACCCGCCTTGGTGGGAGGCACAAAACCTCCCCTTGCCCCACTCGGGGGGGCGGTTACTGCCCCTCTCCCCCCGCCCTGAGGAGGGCAGGGGCGCCCCCCGAGCCCCTCGCGCCGCGGGGCTCAGCCCCGGCCCGCGGCGGGGCCGCGCTCACCGATGACCTCCTGCAGCTCGTAGTCATCCTTGTTGATGGACCAGGGCAGCGCGCTGGGCTCCTCGGCCATGGCGCTGAGGGGCGAGGCGAGGCCGCGCGAGCGCTGGCGGCAGCGGCGCCCGCAGCCCCGGCCGCCGCCTCCTCCTCCGCCGCCCCGGCCGCCTCCGCCGCTACCGCCCCGGCTTCGCCCGCTGCCTCCACCTGCCCATGCCCAGGCCCCGTGACGTCACCGCGCGCGCGCGCGCCACAGCGGGGCGACGCCCGGCGCCATCTTGAGCGCGGCGGCACTCCGCCCGCTCTCACTCCCCTTGCTCCGGCGAAACGGCAGCAGCCGACGCCGCCGTGCGCGGCTCGACGCCGTCTGGTCCGGTTCTCTGCCGCCGTCGCGGCACGGAGCGCTACGGAGGGATGAGGGCGGGCCACAGGGAGAAAGGGAAGGGCGGGAATGCCACTCACAAGATGGCGACACCGCAAATCTTCCCCTCCCTTCAGGGGAAAGGGGGGAGGGTCCGCTCGCTTAAGACGCACGCCCGGCGCTGATTGGCTGCCGGCGGCGGAATCCGCGGCTGCTATTGGAGGAGAGGCTGTCAGTCGCACGCTGCCCTGCTCTGGGAGGCGGCGGGCGCGGGAAGGCGCGGCCGGGCCGGGCTGGCGACAGGCGCCGCGGGGAGCGGCGGGAGCGCGCGGGGCTCCAGCCGAGGATCGGGGGGAGAATCTGGCAAAATCTGCGGTTTCTGAGTCAGATTCCCTCCCTCAGGCGCCGCCATTCCCATAGCTTGACGCCCCCGTGCGTCCAGGAACAGCGTTCTAGCGTTTACCTCTCTAGTCCCCCTGAGGCATGTGTGTAATTTTACCACAGCGTGTTTAGAAGTCTGGATTGTTCTAAATTCTCTTATTTTGGGGTAGAAAGTACCCTTATTTGGGGTATAAAACCATACTGAAACTCCTTTTGCTTTAGATAGTGAGGCAGAATTATGTCCATGCTAAACATATTTTTAAGAAATAGCGTGGACTTTGAGCAAAAGGAAAGTCTCAGGTGTGCGTTGAGGGGACCACCCGTGGCCACCAAGCACACGGAAACAAAGGATGTGGTTTGTTCTTTTCACGGTTACGTCTCCATGTCCACACTCTAAACCCAAAGAACTCATTTTTTTTTTCATGTAGAATTCAGATCCTATAAACACTTCTTTATTTTTTATTTTTTGAATGAACACTGTATTTCAATCCCTCAAAACTCGGACGTTGCTGTCACATTCACCCAGCAAATTATGCCAACGGGAGCCCGGAGAGGCATGAAGAAAGGGGACTGGCCTCGGTGAAGGCCTTAACCTTCCGCCCACTCCAGATCTTGGAGCAGCACCTTCCCTTTCATCGTTAATGTTCTGCTTATCCCGCTTTTCCCGATCTGCTCTGTCTGTCTCGTGCAGGTCGCGAGCTTCTCAGAGCAGAGGAAACGTCTCCTACTTAACAAAACAGCCTGTGAAGTGGAGCTGCCCTATCAAGCGGGTTGTGGTCAGAACAAGGAATTCTGGTAGAAATCCCAAGTGGGAAAGCAGTTTGCTGTGTATGCACCTCCACTCGCTACCGGGCATTAGGGAGGATGGAGGAGAGGAAAAACTCCATGTTTCTTTGTGGTGGGAGAGCTGCAGTCTGGAGAGAAGCCTCGGATCTGGGCTGCAGGCACTTTCCGAATTACAATTGATCACTGCAGTGGTTAGAGCAGAGGATCCCGTTGCTCCCATTGCTCCTGCTGCTGTTGGAGGGCTCTGCCCTGACACCGCCGTTTTGCAGGGGTCCCCAGGACTCCTCCAGCAGCCTTAAATGCAGTTTTCTCCTTGCTGCGACTGTCCCGCACGGTTATGCAGAGTCACTTGGTGTCACAGTCCATCCATGATCAGTACCGTGGCGTTTGCTGCCGCGTCGCTAGTCGAGAGCTTTTTTAAAGCACCCTAAACTGCCCTTTGCAAGCAACGGCGCATTCGCCGTGGCGGTTCTCACCCTCCGTGGCGGTTAATGGGCTTATTGAGCTGCGTGGTACGGGCAGGGTTAGCAAAGCGAGAGGCAGCCCAACAATGTCCGTCTTATTACACCCATAATAGCGCCAGTGCACGCTGGCAGGCGGAATGCGTGACCTTGTTTCCCTGCAAATTTTCCCCGGTGGAAACACTTTCGGGAGGGAACTTTGCCTATCAAACGGCAGCTGGTTATTTAACAGTGCAAGGTACTTTGCTCTGCAGCAAGGAAATACCAGCACGCCATTTATCCCCGGGGTTTTCCCCTGATATTCTTGGTTTGGAGGAATAAGGCAGGTACCACGCGGGGAGGTAAGGAGCAGTGGTTGAAAATGCTCGTATTGGAGCAAGTTTTGATTAATGGGTTTGGGGGTCATGTTGGTCTAAACCACACGGGCAGGTTTCCTTTAATGATCCCGTGTTCTGCCCTGTCTCTCCAGGCCGCCCTTCCCTACTAAGTGAACTAAGTGATTTTAAATTCCCCTTTGAGGTCACTTTGAAGTCAAGCAGCCGAAGACCCGGTTGGAACAGGTGAGTTCTGGTTCTCACGGTCTGTTTACTGAAAAGCAGCTTTCGCTCGGCAAACACTCTTCTTCCCCTACCAACCCTATCTCTACATTGGCAGAAATAGGACATTATTATTCTCTTGTCACCCAGATTTTCAGCATTAGGAAACAAGTTCAGAGCCCATGACCAAGACAAGGTCTTATTTCTTTCCCTTTTATTCTAAGTTTATACTCTTGAGTAGCTAAACTGAAAGGCAGTAACAAATCAGAGCTTTGCTGCCACCTTGAATTCTGATATAAAATTGATGTTAAGTAAGAAATAGTTGGTTAGAACAAGAATTTGATTATGACATACCAAAACTGCCAAAACAAACAAAAAAAAGTTAGAAGTAAGTAGATAAACATATTCAAATTCATTTACTTTGGGGCATCTGGAAATAAGATGTGTGAAGGAATACAGTTTTTATTCTTGGCCAGTATCTCTTTGCACTGAGCCAAAGCCAGGCAAGGTGAGTGGTTCACGTTAACAGGTCCTAATGACACGGGACTACAACAACAGTCTAATAGTTCTGTGTAACTGACTCATAGCTTATTACTATGGAGACAGGAATGTAAAGAGATCTCAGTTTAAAAAAAAAATCTATTTGGATAGTTCACATCCTTTCCTCCGTACTCAGGAATTCCGATGCCATTGACTACTGGCTGCTAAAAATAGGGTCATTTTTGTGTATCTGAAGTCAAGGAGAAACAAGAACCGGAGAGAGACGGTGGGTGGAGACCAGTGACTTTATATACAGAGCTTTCAGGAAATGTTTCTTGGGAAAGTCCTCCAAGAGTGCACAGATGCTCTAAAAAGATGGGACCACACTAAATAGTCTACGATTGCTCTGGCAGAACAGGGAATAGACCCTGGATCTTGGGATTCGTTTGGGCAGTTTTCCGTACAGATCTGCAGCCGGCATGCAGCCAGTTAAGCAGCTCAGGGCTTGTTGCCCTTAAATTAGTTCTGCTGACACAAGCAGAAGGCAAACGTATCTGAAGGCCAGAGCCAGAAAAATGCTGCAAAAAGCTTGAGAAGGTCCATTTTAGAGCACCCACACACATTAGCCCACGTGCTTTTGCTGAAAATCCCTACTTTTGCATCCCAAACAGTGCCCTGGCTGACAGCAGAACGAAATCTCCCTGTCCCAGGGGGAATTTGGATGCTCCGTCATGGAGCCTGATGGTACCAGTGGCCTGTGTGTGGATTCCTGTACCACAGTTTTCATCCCACTTGCCTGCATATTTTGCTCGAGAATGAACAAGGCTGTTGCACATGGCTTGATAGCACTGGTCAAGTTCAAATCTACCTCAAAATCCTGCTGGGATGAACCAAAAATAGCTATAATGTAGCACTGAGAGAAAATCACCTGTAGGGAAACATTTGGATACAGTGCATGCCTAGTTGTATTTTTTCTTTTAATTTTAACCTATTGAAATCCCCCTAGATCTGACAGTTTCAATTCCATTAGCATGTTTCCCGCTAGTATTCCTATGCTTCCAAGGTGATCAAAAGCATTTTCCCGAATTTTTTTATACATAATTACATTTTCCAGCCTGTACTAATTTCCTTCATGTAAATGTGCCCTCTGCACCAAAAAGTGCCCCTGTCATGACAGAGCAATGCTCCACGTGTCAGGGGAATGACAGCCAGCACCTGGTCCATCAAGGGGCCATACTGCATCTGTCACCTCCCCCTGCTGAAGCCAAGAGCAAGTTCTGCCCGTTCTGAATCACCCTGGGTAGATTCTTCCTTCGGGAGGGACGGAATCGGTGCCCACGGAGGAGTCCCTGCCTCCCCATCGCAAGAGCGGAGAGGGGCAGGACGGGCTGTGTTTCTTCTCGAGAAGAAAGATGGAAAAGAGCTACCACGAGCTTGTGTTCCCCGTCGGAAAGATGTTATTTCATAAGCTGTGCGGTGAATATTGCCCTGCAAGAGACTTAAAGCACAACCTCTCCTGATATGAAGTTCATCCTTGACCTCCAGAAATTCCGTCCAGGCAACATTTCTACTCAACACTCTCCTTTTTGAGCCTAATATTCAACATTCTGTGATGCCCAAGAAGGAGATGGAGCCTTTCGGATTTTCATCTTTATTCTACTGTAGCAATAGTTGGTTCTTAAGCAGGAAGAAGAAAAAACACTGATTATTTTCAGAATGGCCATGCAGCATGGATGATTTTCAAAATATTTGTATCAGGATAGAAAGACATATAAATATATATATATATACTTTTCTATAGATATAAAAATAAATGATTTGGTTGTAACATTCAATTACAACAATTTCAGGGAGGGAGAGACACAACATGGAAACAATGAAACATCAGGACTTGTAAGTCCTTTTTTTAAAAAGATTTTCAGTTTTAGGACCTTCTGCTATGCATGAAGAGGGGAAAAGAGAACTGCATGATTCCTACCAGGATGTATTTACAGTAACTGGATTTTATATCATTCAGAAATGTCACATTTAATAAATCCACCATGACAAAACAGATATGACCAATGTCAGAAGTGCAAAAACTTGATTTTGTAGTAAAAGGATATATATTTTAAAAACATTTTATAACCTTAGGGCTACTAATTCTCTTTTCCCCCAAATAATTTTAGCATGCAACACATATTTTTGACTGCTTTTAAGAAAGCAGCATTCCATTAATAGTAATGCTTGCACTGCATCCAAGAGAAACAGATGGAAAACCAAGGCACAGAAAGTTTGGTGATAACATGACCCAGTCAGAGCACTGACATCTTTTAGAATTACCCTGAATACTGTGTTTAGCTAGTGGAATTCAGAAGTATGGACCGTTGCCTCCCTCTAGCGTTTGCACCAAAGAAACTCATGTTTTTGTTCCCACCTTTGATAAGCTCCTAGATAAGACATTTCCACTCTTAAATGGAGAGGAATCTGCTTCGGTCCTGCCAGGAATGACCCATAATTAATGTTCATGGCCACTCCGTAGTATGGGAATTCTCCGAGCCCCCAGGAGCTACTGGGGACGGAACAGCCTCCAGAAACTATTATATAATTAACATTAATTAATATTTAAGGATTATGCAGAAACCCCAAGGAAAGCAACTGTCCCCATTTGTGCGGGACAGGTCCCGGGTCTCTATCTGAGGAATGCAGCCCTGGTAATGCTTCAAAATAATCTTCAGAACGCTGACAACCAGTCTTAAAAATGCAAACTGTAAATCATTAAACTGCAGGATCAATATGAGTCAGTGGCTAAAGGAACTGACTACCTGATAGGGTTCAAGCAAGTGCAGACACATAAGCAAAATTCCTCTCCTACCAGTTTAGAAAATAAATATTTACTGAAAATCTGTTTAATAAACCCACAAGGCACTTTAAAAGACCACGTTGGGCAGCACCCTCACCCTCCACCCTCTAAGCACCAAAAACTGGTGAGAGCCATGAAGTGGCCCTGAAATCTGCCAAATTCAAGGCCATGTCTAAAATGTAAAGCAGTATCACTGTTGTTTCTAGCCCTATTCACAAACACATTAATGACTAATTGTGGCACTCAATTAAAATATGCTTTTAAAGTAACATTATCATTTATTTTCTAAGCAGCCCCATCTATAATTCAAGGCACTTTTTATCTGTTATTTATTTCTATTTATTTAAGGCATCCTTAAAGCTGTTTTTGAAGATCAGACAACTTAGGTCTGATCCTAAGTGCAGAGATCTGCTTTCTCAGATCATGAGCAACAACACCCCTCATTTGGGATAGTAAGGACTTTCACCAAAAATACACATTTAGACTGAGTCATAACGCAAGAAGGCTCAATTATAAACATCTAATAAAGTCTGGGAATATAAAATGCTCATGTAGGACTGTCACGTAGTGTGACCTGAGTATGGACAAGGACACATCCTTCCGCACAAGTCTTGCTTTTAGCAAGCAAAAACAATCACTTATGGCAAACCTGAGGAGCTGTCACAGACAACGCTAGTGACAGGCGTTTTGCCCCGTAAATGAACACAGAAAAGGCACGTTGGGATATAACCTAAGTAGCAAAATATACCCAGCCATGAACCAACTGAGTTCAGTAATGCTTCATTAGTTACAACAAGAAGAATAATTGCTCTAAGTTCACAATCATGCAAATATTGCTAAGAACAAAGTGTGACCCATTCTTTTCTCAGTGCTTCAACAATTAGAAGACGTTTTGTTGCTCTTTTGAAAACAGAGACTGAGGGTGAGTGTCTGCCCCGAGAGCCAGCGGGGCCCAGGGGCTGGCAGTGCAGATTCTCAGGGACTCAAGGCCACCAGCTCTGCTGAGAAGGCTCCCCAGCCTGGTCCTTCTCGTGGAACTGGCCATTCGCCAAGGAGGAAACAGCCTGAGATTGAAACCTGATTTGTAACCAACCTAGGTACTTCTATATCCATTAAACAGCATTTCAAATAACATTTTTTTTATCATTTAAACATTTAACATTTAACATTTAAAATGACTTTTTTTTAAAGCCTGTTGTTTGAGGCTTTATTTCATGTCTTAGACCAGCATTTTATATTCCCAGGTCTTATTAAACACTTATAGCAAAGCCTTGTCATGTAGGTGACTCAGCCTTTTGACGTATATATTCAGTGAAAGACTTTACTAAACAAAGTGCCAGCTGCTGCTGCTTCCTGACCTGACCAGGAACTCCCAGGCAACTGCTTCGTTTCCCCTTTCAGGCTATGAAAATGTGCTGAAGAAAATGCTGTGCTCCCAGCTGCGGGCTCCAAACACAGACTGTGAGGATCGAAGTGGTTGAAGACCCTGGTCCAAAGGCACAGACAGGACAGATTAAAAAAAAAAGTAAAAAATGTAACATCAGGCTGTCCTAACTTTGCATTATGGCAGCAAAAGAGATTTTGCCAGTCTTGTCCAGAACCATTTTTTGGTGCAAGGATTGGTGTAATCACAAATTGTAATGAACCGGAGGATACTCGGAAACTCGTTCTTCATGGCTTTGCACTTGACTGGAATGAGCCGCTTGAGCCGAGCGCCTGAAAGACAAGGGCCACCGAGAGAAGGTTACACACAGGGCTGCAGGGGCTGGTTACACACACAGGGCTGCAGGGGCTGGTTACACACACAGGGCTGCAGGGGCTGGTTACACACACAGGGCTGCAGTGCTGGGCCCGCTGTCTGCACACAGCACACGCACCACACAGCCCGGGGTTGAGTCCCATCAGTGCAGAGCAACTAGCTCTAACCCCAGAAAGAAATTCCTGAATCAAGGGCTCCACTACCAAGGACAGAACAGGACCCCAAGTTTCATCTAAGATGCACTCCTATGCCAAGTGGGAGTGCAAAGACTCTTGAGAAGACAAACTGTTCTGATGCTTCCAGATATACATGAGAACAGAAAAATCACCTTCTAGATGATCAACTTCACTGGGTTGTCTACAGTTCCTCCCCCTTCTCCTATCACTCTGCTCATACTGATTGCCCAGCTTTCCCTGTGAGAACTACTGCTTGAAGGAGCAGCTATTCTGAAGAGGAGCCTCTTCCCTCATCATTTCTCATATGAGAACTTGCTACCATCTCAATGAGCTGTGATTATCACAAGTGATAACACTGAAATCCAGATGCGGCACTGCAAGATTTCCTACCTACAGCAGGTATCTAAATAATCCACGGGGCTCCCAGAACCAAACCCTTCTGCACTTTAGTCACCCTGTTACTTCTAACAGCTTGTACTTTTAGGCAATGGTTTTACTGGTAGAGATCAAGTCATTAAACGCAGATGAACATTTCTTTGCAGGTGAACGGTGTGACACCAAGGAACTGCTGCAGAACTAGGACTTTCCTGCAAAACCCTACGATTAGGGGCTGATGCCATTTATTAGGACTCGTCAGTGGATTACTGGCCACAGCATGAAATGACAGCATCAAGGAAAATGCAGTTTATCCCCAGCTCTGCCACTGGCTTCCAGTTTTCATTTCTGACATGTTTATAAACCATGTCAAGCACCTTATCTAGAAAAAGGACGGTGCATGCAGGCACTCCTAGACAGTGAGCAACCTCCACGCTGTTAGGCTGAGCTGCATCTACTCCCCAGGAATATACAAGGGTGTAGGATAACCACTGGATACAGCAAAGCCATCTCACTTGGCAGAAATAAATCAAAGGTTCTTCAGTTCAGAACAATAAAGAAAAGGTTTTTCCAAGCTTAAAACTCTCGCAAGATTTTACTGGCCTATCCACAATGCTCAAGGATGAGTGAAAGGGTGAACGTTCATTAACTGCAATAGCTGTTACTGTAACACAAACAGCAGCACTGGTAAGAATTTTTAAATGAAGTACTTGTGAGATCTTACCTGGGGAAAGACTAAGAGCAAATTTGGTCTGGAAATCACACTCATCACTTTCCAGGTAATCATCTGAAATGACGACCACCATCCTCCGACACCTACGTTAAAGCAGTCAGAAAAGAGAGAAAAAAATGAGAGATGTGTCTCATCCTCATTAGTGAAGATGCATAATTGTTCTGTGTTTTCCAGCAGGTATAACTATACAGAAAGGTTTACTGGCAGACACCTACGTTGCACACAGAAACCCGATTACAGCTGCACGCTCCAATATTAACACAAATATCCAGCTTATCCAAAAACTCCAGCTTGTCTGTGCTGGAGCTGATCCTTGGCCTATACATGATAAAAAAAAAAATCTTTAATTATCCATTCACATCCTCCCCTATTGACTGAACATCACTTTTTTAATATTAAAAAGATCTGTGATCTGGACAGAGGCTTATTGTACTAATACCACTGTGAATTCACCTGGCTGTGAACTACACATTAGATTCTTTAGGGAGGGCTGCACTGTACAAAGCCAGCACAGCGAGGCCTGTTAAACGCCGAGCTACCTCCTTATGAAAGGCAGATGTTAAAACCATGTTCGGATTATTCACTCATCCTAATTTAGCAGGACTTGGGGGCAGCAAAAGACCTCCACAGGGCAGTACCTCCCCTCCTGACACCATAAAGCACTTTCTCTAGGCAACTCTCTATGTGGGGAGTCACCCTTATGTGGGACTCAAGCTCCCATCTGTGCTCGAGTACCACAGGGATTTGAAGGATCCCTGAAGCCGGAGCCAACAGCAGCGCTGTTGGTTCAAACTCCACATTGTTGGTGGAGCTAATTCAGCTTGGAGCTGTACTCGTTTCCAGATCTCTTTCAAAGATGTGATTGCAGATATTGTGGCCGCAGAAAAGGGGTCATGCGTAAGCAGCCGCACTACAATAGCTCCCTCCTTGTGAATTCTGTGAAGCTACGTGTTTGGGAACGCCTGGATCCTCCTCCTTGAGCCAAGAGCATAAAACAAACCCCAGTAAGACACCACGTGGTTCTTCCTGCTTCGCTGGCCCCACATTACAGACATCACGGAAGCAAGAACGGACACAACGTCCCATTACCCCGAGCTGTCCCGGGCAGCCTCGGTTCACCCACCTCCTTTCTATAAGTTCTCCAGTGATGGACCACACACACGTTCCTGGCAAGACATCCCGGTCAAACACACAAAGCTTCAGTTTGAACTCCGTTTGTTCCAGCTCTCTGATCATCTCCTGGACAAACTGAAGGTCCTTCTGACAGTAACAGATGAAGGCATCAAACATCTCTGTTCCGCTCCCTGAAACATGAGAAAATTTAGTTATCATCTTCTACTGAAAATAAAAAAAAACTCCTGTAGAGTCAAGGGAGCTCTGCAACCCTTGACTGGGAACTGGGGGCTTTGACAGCCAAACTGGCAAAACTTGCTCAGATAAATTAACATTTTACCAAAAAAACTCACAGGTAGTAAACGTGTTTGAGCCTTTCTCACAGGGATCTGCTGCAGTCAAGAGCAATCCCAAGGTGAGGAATCACGAAGCAACACCGTGTCACTCACCATGAGGATCATCCCTGGTCGTGATGCCCACCAGTTCCGATGTCCTCAGCACGCTGCTGTCCACTGCCGGGACCTGCAGTGGCTGGTTGGCCTCCTGCTTCCTCCTTTGCAAGTATTTCTTACAATCTGCCTCTGTAGAAACACAGATCCAACCCAAAAATCTCCTGTGATGACAGTTTTACACTGCTGAAATTCTTTGAAAATGGGAACAGCTACATAAGGGATCAGGGATGGTAGAGGGGGATTTCTCTGTTCTTTCAAGTACCTGTTTATGGATCTACTGTCCATGCTCCCAGAATCCATATACAACAGGTCTTAATACCTCTACTTCCTATTGTCACTGCTGTGCATTTTAAAGTATTTAAAAAACATCAAACAACTTGGGGGGTGATTCTTAATTAAAGGTCTTCATATCTGTTCTTATCAGTAAGTGTACACACACATTAGATGATGCCACACTCTTTTGTGTGTTTTTTAGAGGTGACAAAAAGTGGGGTCCTGCCTGCCTTGATCCCATCAGGAGGGCTATAGCCCCTGAAACAGCCCTTATATTGTCCAGCCAACGTGGAGATCCTCTTTTAGCCATCAACCAAAGTGGACAGACACCTTCTAAGGCAAGAAGACCTGCTGTGGTTGCTGCTGTGAACTTCCCGTGAGAAGACAGTGATGGACAGAGGTCTGTTACAAAAAGAAGCATGTTTAAAAATGAATTATAAACCTAAATGTAAAGCCTTTGGAGAACTAGGAGAAAATGCTACAGCCTCTGCCATCCTACACTAGAACCTGAAAGCAAAAGTAGATTTGAAACTGGCAGTTGGCAAAGAAATGAAACTCCTTACTGCCTTCCGCATTAGCTTCAATATATAAATAAATTGAGTGCCCATCACTCTGGGGTCAGGCTACAGCTACAGATTTTGCTACTGCTGCACTGGGAAACAATGAGTCCGATGAAAGCCCTTCCCGTGGCCAACAAACTCCCCGTCTCTCCTGTCGTCCTTCCCAATGTGGTTTATTTAGCAGAGAAACAAATCCGCTGCGGTCCTTATGGGCCAGCTGCTTCAGATTTCAAAGGCTTCCTCAGTGCAGCACAAATTCGTGTCTCTTCTCTGCCAGCTGCCTCATGAGGAGTGAGTATTTCATGGCATGTAAGTCAGTGTCTTTAAAATCATCATCAGAAACACTTTAAATTGGCTTCTAAAGGGATTCGGGAGTTCCATAGGAAGGACTAGCAGGCTGAAATATGCCTGAATATGTGCTGTTCCCTCCAGTTACCAAGCTCACAATGCAGAATCCTTCCTGCTGAATCCAGAATCCTGCTGAGTGGGCAAGAGCAGGCAGCTGTTTAAAGACATATTATTACTAGTCCTCACCACAGAATTAGCCATTTTAATTGTATTAGCACCGTTTGCGTGATGACACATATAGTCATTCAGGTAAGTGCGGCCCTGGTTCATCCATTTGAGCCATCACACCCAGGTTACCTACGGCACTGCGCTGTAAACCCCAAGCCTATACATCCCTATAGGATAAGCCCCAGAGTTGGGTTTTCAGAATGAAATACCAGAGTCTCTAGGTCTTCTTACAGGACAAACTGGGACAATATCTACTACTGCCAGTAGAACCAGTGAACCCAAAGTCATTAAAGACATTCAGTAACTCAACATGAATAAGACCTCAGCAGGAAACTACGTCCGAGTACACAGGCTAACCAGCAAACAAGAGTCAAAGACAACCTCGAAGGCCCATGAAAGGACCAGAGCCAACACAGCGAAGTAGCAAGAAAGTCTCACAAAGTTATCCTATCCCACCCAGCATGTTGGGTTGTCTGCCAGCACGAAAGGTACCTGCTGCCATTTGAGATATCCTAGAGCATCCGAGACCTCTGGCAGATATGCTCCTGGATGTAGAGGCCCCTTTGGGAGCCATATGGGATATCTTGAGCCTCTCAGACACCTTACGGTGCCCCTGGGCTGCAGAACCATGCCCCAGACTGGCACCTCTCACAGTGGAAGCATCACTGGTGACACACGCAGACACCTAAAAACTGCTGCTGTAACCCCACGCTGAAGGCAGCTCTAGGAGTCCTAGCAGGGCACACAAAGCTGCCTCTGGGACCAGGAAACACCGTGCACAACAGTGAACACAATTTTGCATTTTCTTTCTTTTTCTGAGTTTCCTCCCTTCTGAGGGGAGGACGACTTCTGCCTCAGAAGGACAAATGCCTAGGGAAGTTTATAAGAATACACCCACCGTAATACTTTCCTAAAATAACCGCCTGGTTTTGAACAATCTGCAGCTGAGAAGTTTCCCGAGCCAACACTTTGGCACTGAACAGCCCCCGATGAAAATCTCCCCAGAATTCGTCAGCTCCTCTTATCATCATGACTCTTATCAGCTGCGCAAAACTCATGACTGCCCTGAGGTCAACCAGCCTCCCACTCGTCCTGCTGTTATCCGTAAGCATCTCAGAGAGACCATCCACCCTGTGCCTGTCCAACGGGTCAGCTCCTAAACTCAGGGTTGGAATACGTCTAGGTGAACTCCAGAAGCTCTGTGCAGGTCCCAGCTCTACCGCAGAGCTGGAAACTTCCGCAACTTCTGAGGAATTTCAGGAGAAAGGAGACAGACGTGGATCATGGATTGCACTGCCCAACTCTTAGTCTTCCAAGAGAAGAACAGGCTTCAAAGCGTCTTCCTGATGTGGCGCACGGGAAGGCCCTCCGTGGGCTGCTCCGCGCAGAGACATTTCCAGATCTTCACTTCCCTCAGTGACTCACAGGAAGCGAGAGTTTTTCTCTCTCCACCGCGGGGCCGCTGCGTTTCGGGGCCCGCAGCGCCCGGGCCCGTGCAAACCCCCGGCACGGACGCTGCCCGGCGCGCTGCAGGGCTGACGACCGGCTGCTCCTCACGGAGCCAACCCAGCGCCAGGCGCCCATGAAGCACAGGCTGCAACTCGGCCCCAGCACCTTCCTATTTACAGCTTCTCACCGACTCTGTGCTAAACCTCCTCTGTTTGCAAAGAAAATGATTTTGCTCCCCGTCAGCCAGACCCTGCGTGTCCCTCCATCTCCCCTTCTGCCCCACACGTGCATCCCAACACGGCAGCTCACAACACATCCGGAATTTGGGGAAGTTTCTCCAGGCTAACATTGCTCAGAGCATCCTGAAAGGATTAATGCGAGGATTTGGGGGCAGGCAGGTTAGTCTGCAGAGCGGCACAAACGCAGAAATCGGGAACCCCCCAGGAGCTCCTGCGGCTGGGGAGGATTTAGGGATAAATAACCGCGCGGCTGGGGGCGTTTTGCCCGTTTGAGGGCAGGGACGCGTCGCCACCACCCCGCGCTCTGCTTCCGTAGGCAACATCGCACCCCCAACCCCTCAAAAAAGGGGAAAAATGAGATAAAAATAAACCCATGGGCTCCTCGGAGCGGGGCGCAGGCTCCCGCCTCAGCGGCGGGCGGGACAGGGCACAAGATGGAGGCGGCGCGGCCGGGAAGGAAGGAAGGAGGGCGGCCGGTCTCACCCACGCTGGGCGCCAGGTCGAGCAGCGCGTCGTGGCGGCCCAGCTCCCGCAGCAGCCCCAGCAGGCGGCCCACGGTGGCGCCGGCCGGGCAGCGGCGCGGCCACTCCTCGAGCAGGGCGCCCGTGGGGTCGGGCAGCGCCTCGAGCCGCTTGATCTCCAGGTAGTCGCAGTCGAGGCGCTCGGCGAGCGCCGTCCAGTCGGCGGCGGCGGCGGCGGAGCGCGGGTTGAGGTAGAGCCCCAGGCGGCGCCGCACGCCGTAGTTGAGGGCCACCATGGGCACGCTGTCCAGCGGCAGCGGCTCGGGCGCCGCGGGCAGCGTGGCCATGGCGGCGCCGCGCTCGCCCATCCCCGCCCGCCGCCGCCGCTTCCCGCCGCGCTCCGCCCCGGCCGGGCCCCGCGGAGCCGCCCCGCGGCTCCGCGCAAGTAAAACTTCCCTGTTTTTTGTTGTTGTCTTGCAAAACGCCGTGCACAGAGAGCCCCTGAAGTGCCGCGCTGCCCCCGCGGGACCCCTGCGGCGTCCCTGGGAATAGGGGAAATGAAATACTCCGTTGCGAGAGTTTAATTGCGCAATGGCCAGCGTGCTTAGAGCTTTACAAGGTGAAAAAAATACATAGTGTAAGAAAATTAGTTACTGATATTTCCACTTAAAGCTCTACACATAACACATCTTCTTCAGTTTGCTACGAGATGTTGGAATTTAGCTTTAATAGCCATAAACTGCACTGCAAAGCAAAAGGGGCCTGGAAAAGGCCCTCACAACAGACAGGCCACACCATTTTGGTTAATTAATAAGAGTTATACAACCCCTTTCAGCCAAAGCATTTCACAGGCTCAAGAGTGATATATTATTTATGGGAATCAGGCCCTCGGGAGCCACTTCTGGAGTATAACCTACTAGCTGACTAAGAGCTCTCAGCAGCAATTTAAGCCCTAAAGTGAAAAAAAAACTGTATCAGATCATCATGACTAGTGCTAATGCAGAACTTGCCAGTATCTCTGCCCAGCTGATGTTCCTGGAAACATTTCTGAGGCAGGTTCCTCTTTACTGCAGCCCTACTTCTTGCACGGGTGGGTTTCAAGGATATTTGCCATTCTTTGCTCTGCTGAGGACTTCCTCATGGGTGTTTCTTGTGAGAAAAGTAAAAATCTAGGCCCCTGTCCTTGTGCTGCATCGGTGGGTGTGCAGGTCCTTTCTTGCCCTTGGGATGAGCATCTCTTCCATGCTGCAAAAGAAGGATGGATGGATGATGATGAGGTATTTGCTGATGCTGAAGAGCAAATCTGATCACAGATCAGATGCAGTTTAAATAAGCAAAATGTTCATGTGGCACTTCACAAAGTCGTTTGTCTGCTCTTCTGTGCTCTCGTAAACACAGGATGATAATCCAGGCTCTTGGCTAGCATGACTGGAAGTGGATGTCCCCATTTCGGCAAAAACTGCTTGTGTCAAAGGAATCTGGCCAGAGAAGTTTGAAACTGGGACATGGAATTAAAACCCCATGTGGAAACTCATTTCATTCTTCATGGAACTAAATCTCAGCCTCTACAACAGCCTCTACAACAGCCTCCTCACATGGGAGGAGACAGCGAGTATATGTGGGGAAAGACAAAATGCTGAAAATGCCTTGAAATGCACTATAGTGTCAGTTCTCCCCTTCTACCACCACTGCTCCCTATCCAGACCTACAGAGCACTCCTATTTACCCCTCTTCACCAAGAAAAGCAGCGCAGCTGGTAGATACAAGCCTGACACATGCTTGGCACTTCATAGGATCCACATCTCCATCTGCCCCCATTGTAAACAACCTAAAAAATGAAGTTTTGGGGCCTGCAGTTCCCATATTCACTCGTCTTCATAACTCCAGTTTGGATGCACACATGCAAGTTGGGGAGTTAGTTGTTTTTACTTCCCACCACGCACATGGAATGGGAATACAGCATCAGGCTGGCCTCCTTTCTGCCCGTGTGTGCAAGGAGGTGGTTAGGCCAGTGGAGGCCTTCAGAGATACCCAACCCTTTGGGGCTTGTCCTGGGGCCACCAGGCTTGGTGGTGTCTGGATGGCAGGCAATGGTTCCATGAAGGATCATAGAGAGTTACAGAATCCCAGAATGGTTAAGGGACCTCTCGAGATCATCCAGTCCAACCCCCTGCTACAGCAGGGACACCCAGAGCACGGGGCACAGGGTGACATCCAGTGAGGTTTGGAGACCTCCAGAGAAGGAGGCTCCGCAACTTCCCTGGGCAGCCTGTTCCAAGGCTCTGCCACCTTCACAGTGATGTTCTTGCTCATATGGAGACGGAACTGTCTGTGTTTCAACTAGTACCCATTGCCCCTTGTCCTGTCACTAGTCACCACAGAGAAGAGTTTGGCCCCATCTTCTTTAGATTCTCCCCTCAGGTACTTATCCGTATTGATCTGATCTCCTGTCAGTCTTTTCTTCTCCAGGCTACACAGGCCCAGCTCGCTTAGTCTTTTCTCATACCATAGATGCTCCAGTCCCCTAATCATCTTTGTTGCATTCCTCTGGACCCTCTCTAGAAGCTCCACATCCCTCTTGTCCTGGGGAGCCCAGAACTGCACCCAATTCTCCAGGTGCGGCCTCACCAGAGCTGAGTAGAGAGGCAGGGTCCCTTCCCTTGACCTGCTGGCAACATCCTCCTGATGCAGGCCAGGATGTGGGAAATATTCCATGGGGAATATACTCTCTGTCCAAGCCCTGGTAGGTCTGCAGGGCTAGTGGGATAAAGAAGCAGCTAAAATTTACATCACTCAGCACAGCTGATATATCTGGTATTATGTAAGTGCAGGAGGAAAAGAAACTGAGTAATAAAAACCATGCACAAAATAGTAAATGAGCATGATGAGCCCATTCTATAGCTGTAAAGCCAACTGGTCTGGCACAGCTTTTGTCCATATGGCTTCATCGAGCCTGTCTTTTGTGACAGTCCTTGGCACGTGGGACCCTCAAGCTGTGCCTGGGCATGATGCTGGTTAGCCCCGAGTGAAGCAGTGCCAGGAAACACAGCGTCAATTTAACAGCCTGTGTGACAGCAGGTCAGTACACAGCCCTGTGCCTTGGGTGTATTTAGTTTATTAGAATGGTCACAGCTCTAATAAACCCTAAACCAACCCTCATTGCACAGTCCTTGTACAGAGCAGGCCCACCCTCTTCCATAACTTTGGATGAAAACATTTCTTTCCTTTATACCTGAAAAAAACAGCGTAATTCACAGGCACAGACTGGTTGCTTGGACTCCTGCCCCTGGACCCCCAACCCTTCCCACTACTCACAGGCCTGTGGCTGATGTGTCTGCTCCACTCCGGGGCCGTCACAACTGGCTGCGGGTAGGTCTCGCCTAGGGTTATTCCCGCTCGGGAAAGAGAGGCGCTGCTCAGTGCCCAAGGTGCGTGGATCTCTCCTCCCTTTAACTCCTGTAGTTCTGGGACCCACAGCCGCACGTAATCCCCCTGCAAACGGCACCACAGCAACAGGATCCATTCAGCAGAGACCTGTACACGCTTCCCAGCAAAGGCCTCGCTCACCACAGACGGAAAAAAAGGCTGATTTCTAGGTGATGAAGCTACAGCTTCCATGAACTCAGTCAGGCCTCAGTCCCTCCACACAGCAGACGGGTCTCTCTTCTCTGGGACTACCACATATGAATGGAAAAAGACTCCTGCATGCTCCCTGCAAGACTGCAAGGCAAAAAGGGACCTGAAGCTGAGATTTAGCTACTTTGTGCAATGTACTCGCTTCCCTTTGTACTGCTGCCTTCACCCCTCACGTCTCAATGGGCACTCTGGTTAAACACTCGTGTTTCACCCACGTGGTGCTTTGGTGCTGTTCCCTATGAGGCAGCCAGATGAGACTTACACTGCCATCGTAATCCAGGCCTTGCTTGATGATGTTGAACCTCCTGCTGTCCCGCGGGTCGTTGCCGACGCCAGCGCTGTAGAGCCAGTTGCCGTAATTGCTGCAAACGTCGTAGTCCACCTGGAGCAAGCGGAGAGGAAAGGCTGTGAGGAGCTGGGCTAGTCCTTGGTGACCCTCTGCCCGTCCTCTCCTTCCCTCCAAGGGGAACTGCCCGCATCGGAATCAGGCTGTCCATGGCACAGCCCCTGCCTCTGATGAGGATCAGGCTGCACGGCCTTTTTGCACAGCTGGGGGCAGAATATCTCACTTCATGAACCCAGTGAGATGGGTAAAGTCCAACTAATTTCTGTCTCTTTTTTTTTTTTTTAAATCCTTCTTTTCTGCTACCAAATCTCAGACTTCAAACACATTTGATGACTACCCCTAGCTTTTGAGTGCTCCTACTCCAGAATCAGTAGCCCAGTGCGTTTCAAATACTGCAAACAAATTCTTCCTGAGCTGTTACCCAGATGCCTGGGACTGGCAAAAACAACTCCACAGATCCTAGTACGCAGGTAAGAGAAAAGTCTTGCTCAGATTATATGGAGTGATCACACAGAGTGCAAGAAGAGGCAAAAAGCACCAACACAGCAGTCACTTCCCTGCTACACTCGATCTTCATCAGGCCATGAACTTTAATGAACTTGGCAGAGTTTTCCTATGGAAACACTAAAGTTCTCGCGCCATACTCAGTTGGACACATATGGTCAAATTATTCTGACATCTAAATAAACAAAAGCCTCTCAGAGATGCTTGTGTAAAATGGAGAAAGGTTCCTGTAGCAGGCAGAGAAGAGCCCAGCCCAATGTTTTTCAGTTAGCCTTAAATCCAACAGCAGAAGCTTTACAGTCAACTGTAAAGTCAGGCTCAGGGCCTGGCTTCAAGCCTGGCTCGGGGAGCGGCCGGGGTCTCAGCCTGGGTGTGGGATATCCAGGAGAGGTGTCCTCACTGCAGAGGCCTGGCACCAGCAGCCTGCAAAGCCTCGCTCCGCAGGTCCCCTGCTCTCCTCTGCTCCCTTCGCTGCAGGAGCCGGGGCACGGGGTGGTGTTTCCCAAGCCAGAGGCTCTCCTGGGCACGGAGACGTGGCACAGGGCATGGGGGAACAGGCTGTGCCAAGGCCCCTTCCCCTTTCTTTGCCAAGCCATCCAGGCTCATTTCCCCCTCGGCTTTGCCTCTTCCTGCCATTCTCTGCTCTTTGTTTTCCTCCCTTTCTTTGGGGCCCGACCCTGTGCATGAAACCAGAGCTGAGAGATATTCTGCTCGGGACAGCAGAGGGATCTGGCCTTTCCCCCCAGTTTTAGCAGGTTTTGGAGAGCTTCCATAGTCCCTCTGCCTGTCTTGGGTGGATGGCAAACGTCTTCCCAGGCACATGCAAACCCAGCCTGGGCCTTTGGTGAAGGCATCACAGATGGCAAATGCATCTTTTTCCCTTTGTGGAGCCACGGGAGGCCAGCTGCAGGCCTGTGCTAGCCTGTGCTTCCTACACCCAGCCCTGTCAGGCCCGCGGGGCTGCCTTCTGGGTGTCTCTCCATGAGAGCACTCGGGTTAAAGAACTAGAGCTTTTTAGCTAGTGTGACAAAAGCTGAAAGGGAGGGATGGAAGGAAACAAGGACCAGCCAGTGCCAGGACACCCTGCAGAGCAGCAGCGAGCTGCCGCTTGGTGCTTTGTGAAAAGCCAGGTGCAAAGACAGTGAGATCAAAGCCAGGCTTCCAGCAAGACTGCTGATGCCTGTATGAATAAGGGCAAGCAGTCCAGGGCGCATCTTCCCAGCATGAGACCATCCAGGTCTTTCTCACTTGTGGAGGAAGACCTGGAAGCTCCTACATCCTTCTGGGTGTGACTGTGAAGTGAGCAGATCTCCATGTGAGGAGGCAATGCTGCCCTTTGGTCAGAGCACAGCTTCAGTTCCTGATGCCCAACTCTTGATCATTGACAGCCTTGATTAAGATACTTGCTCTCACGGGCATCAAACTTGGAGCCAGCTTTGCAACGGCTCTGAAGGATACCCTTCGGGGTATCCTTCCCCTTGTCCCTCCAGACAAGATGTAGAGCTGGGTGCTCTACATCTTATCTAGAAAAGATAACATCTTATCTCCACAGCATGAAGTTACCTACACTGCTTTCTGGTGGCTCCTGGAGTAGCCCTGACCACACTGTGTAGCTGTGCAAGCTCGCGGCTGCTCGAGGCACAGGTGTGAGTCACAGCAATGGGAAGAGCAGCCAAGTCTTCCTGTAAATCCCTGCAGCCAAAGCCATATCAGGGCACTGCCCCAAGGAAGCCCCAAACGGTTACATTAACCAAAGGGGTCTTTTAATTCAGACACTGGCTTCATACTTGTAACCATACCAGTGACTGGAAAATCTCATTATCAACAGCCTCCTGAACCTCACAGATTAGAAATCCAATGTGACACTAATATTTGGTCCTATTGCATCTCTACCATTCTGCTGAAGAACTTCAGCTTCTCAGCAGTTTTCACAACTCAGCTAATAACAGTAAAGGACAGAGAAGCAAAGACACACAGAGCTGTACTCCTGCCCAGGCCTGTGACCTGGGGACTGTTCAGACTCTGTGGTGACAGATCCACGGAGGCCAGAGACGAAGGAGCAGCTCCAGTGACTGCTGATTGACATGACAGAAACTAGTTGAGCTGGTGTTCCAGTTGGCAAGGAGGCCCCTGACTCACCGCGGTGAAGAAGGTTCCTCCAGCCAGGGCGGAGGCCTCTGGAAGCTAATCCAGCCATTGTCAATACTTGCCTGTTCTTGGCTAGAAGACTTCCCTGTCCAGAGAGATCAATGCAAAGATGCTGTGCCAACATTGCCTTCGCTGGCCAAAATGCACTTATTTTCATGTTCTATTTCTGGGCTGTCCTCTGGGGTGAACAAATCAGAGCATTGTTAAGATAATTTATGCTTTGTAGCTTTCTCAAATGTGACAGGTTTTTAAAAATCTACACAGGAAAGAACAAAAACATCATTGCAAGTTTCCTAGCTGTGTCTACATCTTGGTTAACAGCAACTTCAGGGCAGTCAAACTCCTTGATGTTTTCGCATGAGCTTTGGGAGCTCACGCAAAACACAAGCACTGTGTACATGCGGTTATATCATCCTGAAAAGCTCTGACCTTCTGTATCCTTATGAGGCAGAGTTACCTTCCTGTCAGTCACCCAAACACCTCCAGACTTGCAGTGGGTCTGCTCTTACCAGCAGGTATTCGAACCACTCTGCTCCCAGTCTCCAGTCGAGACGCAGGTCCTTGGTGAGGAAGCTGGCGACGTTCTGCCGCCCTCGGTTAGACATGAAGCCCGTCGCCCTCAGCTCCCGCATGTTGGCATCCACGAAAGGAACCCCCGTCTTGCCCTCTGTGGAGACAAAAGACACAGTGCTGGGATGCAGTGACCCTACTGGGCAGGGGCTCATGGCCAACCTGTGCTCCCGTGTTTGTAGCCATCCAAGAGGGAAAGGCAGCTCCAACAGGCAGCAGGAGAGAGAAGACATTCTCCAGGAGAGAGTTCAATGAAGTTTAGCTGGGATATAGCCACTAAGATCCACTAGATATTACATAGGAAATTAAACGAGGAGATTTTTTGGCAAGGGAAGAAAAAACACAGCGTGGAAAAATCATCAGAATGGAAAAACAATGCTATAGATGGAAACTGAGCAAAATAAACACACCACAGGGAAACGGGCTGAGAAAGAGTCTTGAAAGGTGGCCAGGTGATAAAGAAGGAAATAATGGACAAGTCCTCAAGGATTAATACATGAGAAGCAGGGAATCTTTTCTATAGTTAAGAAAAAGATTTACTGTACCTCTGTGCAAATGGGCACATAGGACTTTAATGTGAAGAAAGATACATAGCTGCATAATTCAGATCATGATACAATAATCTGTTAGTGCCTCTCGTTTTGAGATATTATCTTTGCTATTAATGTGAAAACAAAGTTAGAAAAGCTGAAGAAAAGCAAGGATATGAAAGACCTGTGGGGTGTAATGGAAGTTGAGTTTTATTCGAGAGAAGGTTCAACTTCCCAAACAAAACCTCTTGGCTGAATGAATTATGTTCACACTGAACAGAGGGCGTGGATTCCTGTTTGGTGACAACAGTTTAAGTGACAGCAACTCTTCAGGCTGGCAATTCCCCCTGTGTCAATCCCAGTTAGCTTTGGGTATATGGGAGCATACAGGCAACACGCAAACCTGAGCAAAACTGTGATCTCTACTGACCTTTCCAACAGTCAAAGAGCTGAAGGTCCTTCTTCCAGGGGACCTCTTTGCCTTGCAGCCCTGTTGAAGAAAGAAATGAACTGCCGATTAAGATAAGTGCTGACACAAGCAGTTATAAATAAAACAGTGACAACAAGAGGCACCTTGGCATAATGCTTTGGGAAGGGGTTAGTGATCTTGGTGACATTAGAAACAAGCCATGTTCCTTCTTCAGAGCTTTAGAGACCTGTTTCTCCTTCCAAGCACTGCAAAGGGTTGCCTCCTTCTATTTTATTCAAGACAATACTGATATGAAATTCCTATCTGTATGAGATCCTGAGCCCAGAATTACCTGGCAGAAGTCCCTGGTAGAAAGAAAGGAAACTTGCTCATGTGGTTGGGTAGGAACAGGTCAGGGGCAGACTTATTGTTTGCAGGGGCTTAAGGGCAATTACAGCTACTGGGAAAGTGCAGGGATGACTCAGCTCTGGATCCCAGGACTGGAGTTTCAGTTGTCTGTAGGTATCCAGTGTCCTGTAAGATGCCCAAGGCATCCAAGACAGGCACATAGGGCTGAGAGGCCCTGAGAGACACTTGTGTCTCTTAGGAGAAACAGCTGGATGTCAGGAAGAATGCTGTATGTTTAGGCAGCTAAATCACATGGAGAGCATCTGACCCAACAAGGCTGTAAGGCTCCCTGACTGGATATCACAGAATCACAGAATGGTTGAGGTTGGAAGGGACCTCTAGAGATCATCTAGTCCAACCCCCTGCTCCAGCAGGGACACCCAGAGCATGGGGCACAGGGCAGCATCCAGGCAGGTTTTGGTGGAACCTCCTATGTTTCAACAGGTATCCACTGTCCCTTGTACTGGCCACCACTGAGAAGAGTTTGGCCCCTTCCTCCCTACATCCTCTCTACATCCTCCCTACATCCTCCCTCCCTTCAGGTACATATTGATCAGATCCCCTCTCAGTCTTCTCTTCTCCAGCTAAACAGGCTCAACTCAGCCTTTCCTTATAAGACAGATGCTCCACTCCCTTAATCATCTTTGTTGCTCTCTGCTGATATATGGATATATATTATCCATATAAACTCACCATCAGGACACTTAATAACACAATGCACATTTCCCTCCTGCTCCAAAATGCAACCATCATAAGGCAGTAACTCAAGTGCAATGAGGAGAATGTTGGTACAACGCGATGCGATGCTCACAGGCTCTTCTCTTCCTTCCCCTGTTGTGTGACTGCCCCTTTTCCCTGCAAAAACAGCGATCCATACGCACCTCTCGGTGAAAAAATCCTTCTGCCATACTTCAGGGCCACAAAGCGGAAGTAATCCCGCCAGAGCAGTTCGAAAAGGATCCTAAAACACAGAGGTGGGTTATTCAGACCTCCTAATCTAGTTTGTACTTTGAGTGGTGGTGGTGAAAAGCAAACTTCACGCCCATCACTTCCTCAGCTCTAGTGTGAGAGCAGAATTTCAGGAAAGCTGTTTCTATCCATCCCCACTGGGATATAATTCTGTGAAGAGCAGGGTGGGGACCCGACTCAGCTTTGCACTTCCGCCCCAGCCAGCGTGTCAGCACATTCCTGGAGCAACACGTGGACTTGCCCTCTGCAAGGCACTTAAAGGCATTTTTCACAGCTGGTCATACAGTGCCCTTGCCCTTGAGATCAGCTGCTAGGCCTGCAAAGAACTGGCAGATTTGCACATATAATTTTGATTAAAAAGATTAGTGGCACCCCAGACTCTGAGAGCTGCTTCAGCAATCTGGGATATTGGGAATATGCCGCTCAGCTGATGTTTCGGCTCACGAGATTTCTCTGGAAGTCCTGACTACAAAACAAACTATCCCAAACACTGAAAAGCACAGTCCCAAGGCAAAGATTGAACCAGCCCCTTACAAGCAGCCACCAAAGACCTGCACGTCACTGCGTTGCCTCTACAGTGACTGAAGTACCTGGGATCTTGACCTCTTTTTTACAGGCAGCACTGGGGTAAGCAAGGGCATAGAATCATAGAATCCTTAATTTTGGAAGGCACCTCTAGAGGTCATCTAGTCCAACCTCCCTGCACACATAGAGTCACCTAGAGCATGTGGCACAGGGTGGCATCCAAGCAGGTCTTGAAGATCTCCAGAAAAGGAGACTTCATCACCTCCCTTGACAGCCTATTCCAGTGCTCTGTCACCTTTATGAAATAGCATGGGAAAGCTGGATGTATTAAGCCTGCTTCTAAGCCTGCTTTTCCCTCCACAGCAGAGTTGTGACCAGCTGAGCAGGTGCAGGGCTGCTTGCAGGACCATGTCCAGTCGTCCCATGGTGCTTCAGACACATTGCGATTTGCCCAAGTTGCACAGTCGCTGAGATGCTAAATATTGGGTGAAATTCTGCTCACATCACAGTGATGGCAAATCCTTTGGATTTTATTCAAAAGTCATTTACTCTGCTTCTCATCTATCTTATAGCAATTCAGAGAGGGAGGGTGTTAACAGATCAATATTAAATACTATGAACGACAATTTCCCAGCAATAGTAATGATAACACTAATAATCTTGACTTATAAATTGCCAGAAGCTCTGGATGCCAAAAGCAGGCTAATAAACCCATACTGAAGCAGAAGTGCAATGCAGCCCAGAGAAATCAGACAGCAGGCATAGAAAAACCTCCATTAATTATGGAGAAAATTAATAAATCACTCTGTCCTGTGCATGAGCTGCCAGTTTGTTTTTCAGAGGAGACAAGCTATGGTGATGGTGCAGGCTCATACCAGTACGTGCTCTGATTTGCTGTTCGGTCCTTTTCATACTTCCGGATCTGCTCATAGATGTATCGTGGTGAAATGCAGCCTAAGGCCAACCTGGAAGCAGAAGGGAGATGGTTAAAATGCAATAAGGGACTCACAGCTGGACACCTGCAGGGAGGCAGCACAGAGGCAGTTTTGTGCTTAGAGTTGCTACAGGAAAGTCTCCAGTTCTGCCACAGACTCCTCACGATAAAGTCACATGATGTTTGTGCAACTCCAAGCGAAAGCAAAAATCCTAGTCCGTCCTTCCTGTTTTAGATGAATGTTACGGTAGTCGCCAGGCTACCAAGAGTAGCAAACTTTTACAGAAGTGTGACAACTTTGGCCTGAAAGACTTTCTCATATTAGTCACTGTACGAAAAAACACAAATGGATCCCAGATTTCAACCCCTCCATTTTCTGCTTTATCTGTTCAACAGCTTCCCTTATACTGCAAGTCTCTTTATCACGTCTACAGTTCCTATTGCTGCAGCACCCGAGCATCTCATCAGAGCAACCACGGCTGACAGTAGGCAAAGGACTTGCTGGAAATCTCATGTGGGTCAGGAAAGGCAGGAAAGGGAAGAGTCAAGGAATAACCTTGATTTTCCTAGAAATATATTTTAATGTAACTTCTCAAAACAGCTCACAGAAACATTTAATTTCTGTGATGGATTCTGATGGATTTTGTAAACCAGGAAGGAGTCTGAAAAGCCGTTCCATAACTGCTAACAAGCTCTGACATTTAGAAATGGTCAATATGAGATGTGAATGACTGCAACCTGAATAGCTCTGATCTTGATCCTCTCACGGAAGAACACTTTGGCATGGAGACATCAGGGCTCTCTGCTCTGGGCAAATAAATGGCCATGCTGGAAAAATGGGAGTGGAGGCCACCACTAAGAACCTGCTCAGTGCTGGTGCTCCTGGGACCCAAAGTGCCACGAGGTGGAGCCATCCACTGCAGCCACCGAAACATAGGCTGCTTAAAAAGAGGAAATCCTGACCAGACCCAGGGAAAAAAGAAAAAAAAACTCACATTTTAATTCTGTGAGGGAAACGCTGCAGACGCTCTCAGCACTAGGGTAAAGTGAGTTCTGCTGCAGCAGGTTCAGTCTGGAATTATTTCTTTCCATCGCTGAAGACTAAAGCCCCTAATTAGAAGTCATCATATTAATCAAAAAAAGGTCTTTTTGCAATAATAATAATCAGAAGTGGCTTTTTGTTTCCACAGAAAAATGGAATAGCAGCGAGGCACATTGACTTGCCTCAAAGTGGTCAGTAGGCCAGGACCAAATTTAGTTCTGCTGCTTTCAGCCCCTCAGGGGCAGGCAGCCCCTGCCTGCTCTGAGCTGTTCTTGATACACAAAAACCAGCACAAAGTCACGGACAAGTCGCATGTCTCTCCAGGGCTCTGTCCACATCCCCACTCACAGCACAGTGGGCACTTGGTATAGTTTTGCTACGCTTAAAAAATCCTCTTTGCAAGAAAGTTCCTAAGGAACCGCTGGCGGAGAGTGCAATAAAGAGTAACTCTGAGGCTGCTCTACCTAGACAAAAAGCCAGGGGATGGGACCTAGAGCATCACCCTTCTCACATGAGTGTTCAGCTAACAGGTAACATCAATTTGAAGGGCATGGAGAGAGGAAACTTTCACTACAAATGATCGTTACCATGGCGCAAATTTGGTTGAATAATCCGTTCCGATGAGTCCATTCCGTGTCTCCTTGTAAGAGGCAACCAGATTCTGTGTGAGAAGCAAGAAGGGAAGATGTTAGTGAACATAGAACCTGGAGAACAGGCCTTCTCTCGTGCTCTTGTGGAAGATAGAGCAATTCGGCAGAGCGAGGATCCCTCTCCTGGCTGCCTGCAGGGATTACAGGGCTGCCAAACTCCAGCGTCCTGGAGTTAACTCTTTGGAGTTAAGTCCTTGGAGTTAACTGCATTAATCAGGCAGCAGTTTTCCTTTTAGCCAGGGGATGTGTGTCACTAGCCACGGGGCACATGGGTTCCTACAGGATCCACGAAGCTGGACAGGCTACTCCCTACCTGCACAGATCTCACTCTGGAGCAATAGGGAGAAAGGGGCCAAGATCTTCTCAGTGGTGACCAGTGATAGGACAAGGGGCAATGGATGTAAGATGAAACATAGGCAGTTCCATCTGCATGTGAGGAAGAACTTCACTGTGAGGGTGCAGAGCCCTGGAAAAGGCTGCCCAGAGAGGTTGTGGAGTCTCCTTCTCTGGAGGTCTCCAAACCCACCTGGATGCCACCCTGTGCCCCATGCTCTGAGTGTTCCTGCTGGAGCAGGGGGTTGGACTACATGATCTCTAGAGGTCCTTTCCAACCTCAACCATTCTGTGATTCTGTGAATAACCGACTTAGAGGTGCTGCTTGCAGCCAGGCTGACACTGGTGCCTGTGTCCCCTGCCGTGTCCTAACGGGCCCGGCACTCAGCTGCAGGAATCCGCATCACTGGGATGTCTGGACACTCTGGACACCCCACTGCCAAGGCAAAGGTCATTATGGGGACACCTGATCTCTTCCTGATGCCCTTGGCTGCCCAGGTTACAACTGCTAATGGCCCTCTAAAGAAGAGCTAAACTGCTGCTGACCTAGGGAGGGAGAGTAGAAAGGGCAAATCAAGATAAAGGAGCTCAAAGATGGTCCCCAATTCTCAAAAGCGGGTGGGGAAAAAAAGATCCTAAGACTGTTGGCCAATAAATTAAGTTCCCAGATGCTTAAATTATAATCCCAGTACTTGGATGACTTCTTGTTTCTTTTTCTGAAAAACTAATATAATGCTAATTCTCTTCTTTGTGAAGTACTATATAGAGGCTAAGGAAATTTTCGTAGGAAATGAAATTGCAGCTCACCCACTTGCACAGCTATATGTACATAGGAGAGGATGCAGACAAGGAAATGTAAGAGTTACCGTGTCCCAAAAATAATACTGTAGTCTCATTAGTGCCTGAGTCTCTCCTCCACTGCAGGGAAAAGCTGTTCGTGGATCAGTTACAAAATCTGCCAGGGAAAAGAAATATCAGCTTGTTACCAAGAAAAACCAGCTCTTGGAAGCAGCTCTAAGGCAGGGAGCATAAAAACTAGACAAGTTCCTCACTAGGGCTTTGGGGAAACAAATGATTGTGCCCAGTGATGCCTGGAAACAAAAAGGGCCACCTCAAATACATTCAAAATTACTAATTAAAAGGATTCTGCTACAGGGCTTGCCACCTCAGCTTCTCCACGCAGCGATTTTACCTTCAACCTGCCAACATTTTGATCTAATGTAGGAGCAGACAGACACTGAGTTACAGTTTGAAGGGCTCTCACTGTCTTGAATGGCCTCTGATGCACGATAAGAGACATCTCTCAGTAGAAATCTCATGGGGCAACTGCCAAATTAGGCTTTATTACCCTTCTGTCCCAAATCCTCCATGGTAGGGATACATCCTTCTTCTACCCCTGGAGGCAGAGGCTTGAGCTGAGTTGCCATGTGGAGTGTTGGCCGAACCTTTGCCTCGGTTTCCACGACTTTTCGAAACTGAGTGTAGACATCAGGCAATCTGCAGAGTTAACAGGGCAATCAGACCTCGGAGGGGAAGGCTCTTTTGGCCCTCCACACAGCACCAATTTCTTTACAGCTAATACAGAAAAATAGGCATTTTTATACCCTGATCCTTCCGCTCTATTTTGTGGATTTTCTGTAAGATAACATGAATCACTCAACTCCACCAACTAGATCTCCAATGACTACTGCAGGAGCCAAGGCTGAAGAGTCCTCAAGCAGGAGTCTACTCCCATAGACACTTACATGTAGCCAGAGGAGATAACAGAGCAATCCAGTCTAAAGCCACAGGGTCTCAGGACACTGCAGACCAAGTGTTCAAACAGTGTTGGTAGAAGGAGGAAGAGAAATCATTCCCTCAGTCAATGACCAAACAAGTGACTTAGCAAAAATTGATGAGCAAATGCTCTTGGTAGAGAAGAATGAACATGTCCCTTCCACTTGATGTTAAAAACAGCACAACATCACTCAGTCCTTTCCCAGTCGAATTGGACGGCTATATCTAGTGCAGTAAGCAACAAATGAGGCAGGAGTGAGGGGTATCATGGAGCATCCCACCTGGTGATAGGCTTGAAGGGGAGGTCATCCCGGTGATACAATGTGGATCCCCAGAACGTCTGGATTTTCACTCCATGCTGACCACACACCTGGAGCAGCCCCTTCTCCACATCCAGCTCCTCCTTCGTGGCCTAAGAAGAACAAGATGCAGCGAGTCCTGGCTGCATGGCCTCAGCTCCCTCTTCCAAACACATCACTCCTGATCCAAACTCACAATCCCTGGTCCTATACTCCCTCATCTCCACATTTACCTTCACCCATCAGAGACATTCGTATAAAAACAATCTCCGGGTACTCTTTTTCTGCCAAATCCAACTAGTGCTTGAACTCTCTACTGCTAGTCCTGACACTAGAATCGGAGGGAGACATGCAAAGGGAGCTGGATGTCTTGGAATGCTTTCCACGAACCACTGGTCCCAATGTAAAGCAGATAAGTGAGGCTACACTCTCTATAAAGACATAAATGAAAAAAAAAATCAATGCTACCAAAAGGATATTCAAAATTATGACAGAAGCTGTTTCACTATCTAGTGTGCAGTGAAAGCTTTGGAAATCCTTGCTATGTGACACTTCAGATGTTAAAAGTTTACATGAATTGGAAAGTGACCAAACAAATATATGGAAAAGAAGTAATTTGAGGCTTATTGACTATTAAGACACCATCTCTTCCTCAAGCAATCTCTGAGCTCCAAATTCTTAGAAAGTGGGAGAGTATTCAGAGGAAGTATCTTTACAATCTTACCTTGCTGTTATAGTCTTCCTTGAGTACCTGTTATTGGCCACTGTCAGGAAAAAGTCTAAGGAGTTAGAAGGGCTTTTTTTCTGACCCCATATGGGGTTCTTACACCAACATCCCATGTTGCATGTAACAAGGCACTATAGGATGTAGAGGTTGTTCAGTTATAAAGGTCTTAGCTGTGACAAGAGGGATGCTTGGAGTGCAGGTCACAGAGTGCTTCCTGCCTCACATTGCTCTCAGGTCCAGACTCTGATAGCATTGAGGGTATTCTTTCTATACTACACTTGTGTGTATGTGTGTGGTTGTGTGTGTGCTGTTGTGTGTATGCTCATAGCCTTATAAGCCCAGGAGTCTGGATCAGGGATCTGATTCAACAGGCGCTGGATCAGGCAAACCACTACCCCAGCTCAGTGAAGACAGGTCAGGCCCAAAGCCCTGCAGCCAGGGACTGGCGTCCTGTTTCTCTCCTCCATGTCCTGGTAGACAGCTGCTTAAATACAGATGATGGCCTTTTCTACTCATGATACAATTCGACTCCAGCCAAAGGTCTCCCACTTCAGAGAAGAAGCCAGGAAAAAGCAGCTTGTGGCAAACGGAGGAGAAATGGGCTCTGCTCTCCTGATCCAAAATGCCTGTTGCCAGAAACTGCTCTTCCTCCTTCCTCGAAGCACAGCACTTGCAAGTGATCATTGACAAATAGCTGCTGTCATCCAGCAAGGACAGTCAGCCACATGACCCTCATTCTGGGCACTGTCTGGTTCCCCTATTTACCAATGCCACACACAAGGAAGGCTCTGCACAATGCACAAAATCAGCATGTTGCCTGTGGAAGAAACCTCACCAATTTTCTCCTTAAGCAATGTCAATCAAATCTTTCCTTTACCTCTTCGTGGAAAACCACAACACTCACGGAGCCCAGCTGAGTAATTAGATCATTGACCACATCTTCCGGCTTCCCTTTCCTCACAACCAGCGTACTGCAAATACAAAGGATTAGTCTGAATTAAGTCTGATACTATTTTTATTTATTCGTATAGCCTCCATCTGCCACATACACAAACCATAGTGTAATACAACAGAGGTCTGTCCTGAAGAAGCTGCTGGAGAGGGTAATAAAGGGTTTCTGCCAGCAGAGAGTTCCAGGTCTTGGTCTACCCAGTTATGACTCCTGGAGTTTTTCCAGGGCATAGTAAAAGGGGAATCCTTGAAATTCTTGGAGATCCTCATCCCATAGCATAGCCCAAAGAGGATGCCTTTAGTGGGACAGGTTGAACAACCCAAACTCTAGTTTTGCAATCCTGGGTCCATGCTGGCTTGCCTTGGGTTTCAATGAACTCCTAGAGAAACCCTTCTGGGGATATATAAGGGAGGATACTACAGCGGTTGTTACCAGTTTGGGGGACAAATGATCAAATTTTGCAGGCAAAACATGCAAGGTGGAAACCATCTGTGGTGTCCAAGAAAGCAAACCCTAAAGGGCAAGCAGATGTCACCAGCAGCCTGAAGAGCGATCCAGGGAGAGACTGACACGGGAAGGGTTGTTGCTGTCTGCAACGGCCCATCATCAGAGCCGGGAGCATCCACCAGAATTGACTGGAGTGCAGAAGTGCTTGGAAAAGCAGAAGGAAAACAAAGCGGGACTCGCTGTGCGCGGGGGGCTCCACTACCTTCCCCTCGCCCGCAGCGTGTCCCTCAGGTCTCTCACGCTCTGCAGGAGGAACCGCAGCCGCTGCGGGCCCGTCTTGGGGAAGCCGTAGCAGTGGGTGCCCAGGCGGTGCCGCGGGTCGAAGCAGTAGAGGGGCACGACGTGGTCGGCGTTGCCCTGCGCCCAGTGCAGCACCTGGAAGCACGGAGAGGCCCGGGCTGCCATGTCGGTTTTGCTACGGGGGGGCAAAGCCGGGCCTGGGGTGTTTCTGTGAGGCATGGCGGGCAGCGAGGGAGGCCCGGCGTGGTGGACGGGCCCTACCTCATTGTCGTGCAGGCGCAGGTCGCTGCGCAGCAGGCACAGCGCCGTCATGGAGCCTCTGCAGCAGGCCCTCAGGTCACGCTGCTGCCGCCTCACCCAGCACGGCTTCCTCCATCCTGCCCAGGCCCTCCCGCAGCCCAGCCCCTTCCCGCCTCCATCCCGCCCGGCTTCCCTCAGCCCGCCCTGCTTCCTCCATCCCGCTCTGCATCCCCACATCCCTGTCCCGACACATGCTCCAGTCTTGGATCCCGCATTCCCAGCTCCCTCAGCAGCTGGGGAGCCTGCGGAATCCAAAGGGGCTTCCAATTCCCCCATTTGTGCCCCAAAGCTCAGGCCTTTTTTGGCTCCAGGCTGCCTCCATTGCAGTCTCTCTCACCATAGCCCTGCCCAAGCCGCTAACACGTTCTACTGCTTTTTTTTTCCCCCTCCCCTTTTTAATCCCCATAATCTCTGTTTTTTTTTTCTATCATCCAGGGTGTGCTGAGCCCTGCGGGCCTGGCTCCGAGCGTTATTAATCCTGCAAATGCCAAGTATGCAGCATAGCGGCACCCTTGCCGAGCCGTGTGCGAGGCTGCCTTCCAGGGAGCTTAGTCAAGAGTTATTTAACTAAGAGCAGCTGAGCTGGTAATTCAGAGAGGCAGATGCCTTTCCATTCCCCAAAACAGTGTGTTTGAAGTGAAAAGACTCGCCTCAGCCTATAGCTTCCATAATTGAGGACACCCACAATCACCCTTACTCAGTCTGGATTACTCACTAAATTGTCCCTGAGGACGGGTTTTTTTTTTTAATGTGTATGTATTTATGTATTTTTTTAATGGGCATATATTTATGTGTTTTTTTTTTTTTTTTTTTTTTTTTTTTTTTTTTTTTTTTTTTTCGTTTAACTGCTCTCATAACAAGAGGAAATGCAAATAACTGCATTTCCCGCTCGGTGCCCTCTTGAAGGTCTCTAGCCATATCCTCTCCCTGTGTAATTCCACTGACTCTCCTGGTGTGTCTGAGGATGGAGCAGGGGCCAAAGACCTGGTGGTGATTTGGGAATTGAAGTTTATTAAAGTGCATTGCTGCAGCTCCCTTAAGCATCTGAATTACTGGAATCTCTGCCACGCTCTGTTAGATGCTCATCAGAGGTTGTAGTACACAAGCCCCACTAAGCGGGAGTCCTGGTTTTATTTCCAACTCTTCCAGGCCAGCAGGTTTTTTTGCATGCAATCTGCATTTGCTGGCTAAGGGAAATGATGCTGATTTCCCATGTGACTCACATGACACATAATCTCCTGATTCCCTGTCCGTGTTACAAGGGCTCCTTTTCCTGGCTCACCAGACTGCAACCCTCTAGAAGAGCCAGTGACTCATCTCAGAGGGCTCATGTTTGGTGAAAGAAAAGCAAAGCCAAAACTTTGGCCAGCACCCAGGGAAAACACTGTTAGCTTACAATGCACGTGCTATAGAAACAAACATCTCCTTTTATTATATCAAAAAAAAAAAAAAAAAAGAAGAGGTTTTATGAATCCAGTTTACAAACCTTCCCTGTTTACCTTTGCCCTCATTTGGAGAAGGACAGACCATGCATTTGGTTTCTTTTTTTGTTTGCAGCAAATTTCTCCCACCGCGATATCTTGCTCACCGTTAAGCTGGGCAACGACACCCTCTTGTAGCTTACTCATAGCTGTCAGACAGCCACCCACTTGCATTGCTACCTAAAGAGTCTTATTTAATGTACATACAAGTCCTACTGGCTGAAAAAGGGCTGCGGCTCTATTTCCCATTGGCAACGGAGGTTGGTTTCCACCAAACAGAAACACCATCAATAAACAGAAGAGGGAAGATTTGAAACTCTTGATACACCAAGGGTGAAACGAAAGCAGGGGAAAAAAAATCAAATGAGCCTAGGCCTGCTTTCTGGGCTGTGTAAATATAAAGGGTGCAATGTGTACAATACTGCTGTAATTCTTACTATGTGAGTGGCAGGATAAATAGTTTGTATAGATCCAGAATGCTGGACCTCTTTACTCCCAGCACCTTCCTGTTACATCAATTGGAGTTAGTTTTATTTTCTTTGACTTTCTGCAAGAAAATACTAATCCCTCTGCATGCTTGAACTAGTGCTTTCTAATACAGTGCTGATTGCCACCACTGTGTAGCTCACCTGGATAATAAAGGCTTGTTATTTGGCCTACTTACTTAAACAATTGTTTCTCTTTCTTAGATTCTGCATGCAAATGTTCTCAAGCCCTGCCTTTGTGAGCCCTTATGAAATCACACTCTGAAAACTTGTGTGTCGGGAGTGTTTAGGAAAAGCAGTGGTTGATGATTACTTTGTTCCAAAATTAGAAATCAGGAGAACTGGCATTGTGACCTGTGGACTCTAGACTCTCCTTGCCTGGATTTTCCATTCAGACAGGCACAGTCAATGAAAACAAAAGCTTGTGTGTGTTTTTTTCCACTGGCACCTGCCTCTACTCCAAGAAGGTGTTCCAGTTTTCCATTCTTCCTGTAAAAAGGAGACCATCTTTGCCAACAGGGCCGGTGACATGAGGTTACATTGTGATGACCTTGCAGCATGAATCCTGTTCTGCAGCAAGGACCACTTTGTAGGAGTGATTCTTTTCCCATAGCAGACAAAGAAACATGCTCTAGACGAGCAACAAAACAAATAATATGGAGAAGGAATTAATTAGACTCGTCCCATGCTACCCAAGGAGACAAGACTGGAGAAATTCTCTCTGATTTTCAAATTTGCCCTCTATTACACTGATTTGAAAGTTATGGAAAGGACTGCAACCTCACATTAAGCCATAGTGTAGACATCAGTGTGGCATCAGCCTATGCTTCTGCCTTGCTCTATCTCCTCATATTCAGTCTAACACTAATTAATCTGATTGGGATCAGAGTCCAGATCCAACTTTCCACTTCAGCTGGCCCACTGACTTGCCCTCTTTGTAGAGAGGACAGAAAAGGGGCATTTCCAGCTCCAGGGCTTTCCAACAACCCTGCCATGGGCTCACAAGCACAGGCAAATTCTGCAACACGCCTGGAAAGCATCCTGGACCAGTACAAGTGTGTTCCAGGATGCATCAAGATGAACCTGTGAGGTTGTATCAAGATGAACCAACAACCTGTTGGTGTTGATGAACCAACACAATATGTACAGATGAGTGCAGCACCAGTAAGCTGTACTGTTCCTGTAACTGCTTTGGTGTCTTAAAAAAAAAAAAAATCATTCATTAAAGCCAGTTGTTTGTTCTTGGAGCACCCATCTTGAGTAACACAGACATATATTTACACCTCATCATTCCTGCAACAGGCTCTTCATTTATGGCCAATCCGGAACAAATTTCTCAGAAGAACAGCCCGTCTTGGGAAGGAAGAACTGGAGGTGGGCCAAACCTCTTTGCTCTTCTCAGCTCTCCTCATCAATTCATGCACACCCTGCCTTTTTGATGCTATCTTGTTGTGATGGAAGATCAAAGCACACTCTCAAACACCAACCTTTTTGCTTTCCTCTCCAGAAAGAGGCTTCAGTGAAGCACCAAAGCAAGAGAAGGCAGAAGTCTTCTTCACTAGTAATAGCATCCTGTTGAACATGAATATGAACAATATGTAAGACTGGATATAGACAAAGATCCACTTATATACTGAATAGCACTGCAACAGTAAGGTTGAAAGCAGTTGTGCATGGGCTGTGTAAACCTTCGTGCATTTTTGATTGTGTTAAAGGCTCTTCCTCCAAGAAAAGAAAGCTTTTGTCCACTGAGCAGTTTGCCTCCAGCATTGCTGTCTATTGCCTCCCTGATCAGCATCTTTGTCATGTCATCCATTAATGTCCATTTTTATAAGCATCTGTGATCTAGCACTACCTCCATTCAGATGGTCTTTCAACTGATTAAAGTACAAAATTGGCCTTAATAATCTCATTTTTGAGGCAAGCTCCAACTCTAGCTCCTTTTAATTCTCCATAAGGGTTGTGCTTTTGCATTAGTTTGTCATCCATGACCAGACTGACATGATGATTTACTGAGTGTCTCTCTGAGCCCTTTATAGCACTCTTGAATCATGTCATCATTGGCTCTTCCCGTGAAAGTATAAACCCTCTATAAACAACAGGTAGAGCAGCAGTACTCAAGACCACATTGTAATCACCCCGTTACTAGTCCTGCTGTGCTTTATTGCCTCCTTGGGCACATCAAGTGCCATTTCATTTCCTTGGATCTAAGCAGCATGGTGAATCCTGTCCACTTACAAGAAATACCCTTTCTTCTCACACCTATCTGAGATTCCACCTAGATCCATCTAAGTTTTTGAAGTGGCAACCTGCCCTTGATATTGCAGCCTCCAGTCCCATGGGCAATGCAATGGTGTCTGGTGTTTTGACTGGAGAAATCTTGGCATTCTTTCCCACAGTGGAAGCGGAAGCATACAGCACCTCTCAAGGAGTATCACTGCTTGCATAAATGCAGCCACTCTTCTTATTGATCTGAGACTCTTGCTTTTTGGTTTGGAGAGGTCTTGCCACTAGGTATTGTGTGGAGGTTGTCTGACCCTGGTTCTGCCATGATCATTCTTACAGCAAAATGTACAGACTGGTTGCTCTTTGTAGCTCGGTTTTTGACCACAGTTCACTAAATCTGTCATTTCCTCTTCTGCCTTTCAGCGGCATTTCCTCCATCGGGAACCTAATGACCTTCTGCAAGCTCTCATCCACCTACAATGACTGGACCTATATGAGGTTTGCCAAATGGCTCTAAATATTGTTTAACATTCAATATTAGCTACTGCTTATGGCTGTCATATGGGCTCAGAACACACTCATCTGACACATGTGGTGCCCTCAGCATTCTAGAAAAAAAAAATCTAACTTGGTAAAGTATCAGTCAAACATAACTGCAACTGAAGTAGCATAGTATCAGGGAAGTGTAATTGAATGCTTGGCTGATGTAATTCAACGTGGCTGCAATAGAGCTTTCCAAAGATTTGCTTCAACTCACAGCTGATTAGAAAGCTCAGTTCAAAAGACTTTCAAAGCAAAAAAGGAGAATCACAGTTTTGCA